CCCCCCCCCCCCCCCCCCCACCCCGCTCAAGAGTTAAATGGTCGGTCGAAAATCGTCAGTTGGCTTTTGAACTTCAGAATTCGCATGTTTTTGAAAAGCGCAGTAATGGAAAAATGATTTCGTTTGTTGATTCAATGATCCATTCATAAAATGAATAATCCAACAATCAAATTGGACCTCGATTCAATAATTAAATGCTGATTTGGTTTATGAACAAAATCTACCTGTTCTTTATTCTTGTCTGTTGAGTTCAATCGTATTTGCTTCCCATTTCTTGCCGTTTACGATTGCGTTTGTAATTGCCTTTAAATAACAGCTAGAAGAGACAGACCGCAAACGCAAAGAAACTGACAAAGGCCGGGGATCGAAATCCACCAATCACCGCACATACACTGACCTTAGTTTCACCATCGTGTTTCCTAAGAGGTCAGGTCCGTTGCAGTGATTACTAGAAACAAAATGACGTACATGTAACAGTTTGTTTGGGTTTGAAATTCAGAACTCGCCCGAACTCGACTCTTAGAAAAAAAGGAGAAAAAAAAGTGTAGTATTTCAAAAAACAGTAATCGAATCAACATTCGATTATGGAATCGAGGCTAAATATGAATATTGGATTGTTCATTTTATGAATGGATTATTGAATCAATAAACGAAATCATTTTTCCGTTAATGAATTTATTAGTTCGTTAGCGACGGGAACGCTTCACCTGGTTTGACTGTAACACAAACACAGGAACACAAAGGAACATTGACTTCCCTACTAAAAAAAGAGAATTCGGAGAAAATCGATCATCCACATAGACTTTTCTTTTCTCTCTTTGGTTCTGGTTTGTTTAAATAATTAATATATTTTTCAAAATGTGTCAGTTAATGCTGTAATGGCACAAACTTTTCTACCAGGCGTGACAAATCAGAACACAGGCGTGAGCAGGCGTGAGATCCAAGTTTTCGATCGGCAGGCGTGACACTTGGCAGGAAAAATATTGTACCTCCAAAAATCGTGAATGCTCCGGAAAACATCAACTATTCATGCTCACGACAAAATGTTAGGTATTAAAAAATGTAATCTTGACAAACCGTTCCAATTTTTGGCACTAACTCGCGGAATGAGGGATATTTCAAAAAATCGTTTACATTGTAAACGGAAATTAATAATTATACTCTTTCAAATATTAAAGGACAAGATGATTAACCGAGAAATAAAATCGCGAAATCCTAAACCTTAGCCTCCGCACCGAGAGTGCATCACCCAAATCTGTCTGTCTTATTTTTGACGTTATTACGCATTTTCTTTCTTTTCTTTTCCTCCCTGATTTTTATCTTCATTTGTAATATCAGTTGAAACTGTGACTTAATTAAGCTAAGGACTTCCGGTTTAAGAAACTTTTTAATATTTGACATCTCAAGAGCCTTTCCAATCCCGTGATAAAGATACAGACAACTTCTTCTATTACAATGCGTCTGATAATTTATTCTGTTTAGTCAAACCTCAAGTTTGGTTCACTGTGGGTTATATCTTTGTCCATCTTCGATGCTTCTCTCGATTTGAATTGTGTTTGGAGTGTATATGTACTGAGCCAGGGCCATGGAAAACTGGAATCATTTGCTATGTCTTGCCCCTATTCTTGCGGTGCTGTTTTTTGTGGCGTTAGGAATTCTCTGCTACTGCTACTACCGAAGCCACAAAAATGTTGACGATGAGTCCAAACAAGGAAATCTTCAAGACACTCAGCTTATTGCTGTGGAAACAAAGGAGAGATCGCACAGCGCCGTGAGTGACTACTTTGTTGTCAAGCATCCAATGTGATGTCCAGGGAAACTAGAGGACATTAACTGTTCAAATTCCATTTTGGATTCTTTAATAGAGACCTAAGCAATCGTGGTACTTGTCTCGTGGAACTGGAAGATAATGGCTTGCTATTGTGGACATAAACTACATCATATCTTTGTGATCGTCCATGAATCCATAGTTTGTCATATAACACTATTGCAGATCTATTTTTTTTAAAGGCTCTATCTGTTTATTGTTTACTCAGATACCTCCTGTCTACAAAGAGGCTTGGTCAGCATTTCTATCCCGGGGTGGGGGGGGTACTTCCTTATAAGAGGCTCATGGGGATGTCCCGCTGGATGGGGTCGCTTCTTCACGACTGGGTTGACTGTAATTGGGTCGCCTTTTCAATAGAGTTACTAGAATGGGATAGCACACTTTCGTATTTTTTTGGGTAAGACAGTTGTTCATATTTACGGTCAGCAAACGTACCAGAATGTTCGTACTGTTCGTGAAAAGTAGAGTGTTCTTCATTCAGCTCAAAAAATGGGTCCATTCATAAAAATAGAAAGTAACTAAGTTGGGATCGCGAAAATTACATATTTGCCCAAAAGTGAATAAGAAGGGGTCTATAATTGGCCACAGAATATACTATAATGGGGCAGGGGCTCTGAGAGGCCAGCGGCACATACCCTGCAAAAATTTACCCAAGTTCCCCCCCGGGATTTTAATGTAAGCTTGTGATTAATTGAAGGTATTAAAGGAAAGAGCAAACCAAACGTCAACAAAATGTGAAAAGAAAACTCCTAAATAGAGGAAGAGAGGACAATAGAAAGTGGTGTAGCCAACTATGACAACTAATCACTCTTCAACATGCTTCCTGTCCTAATGACAGTTGCTGTCAGCAAGGGTCAGCGGTGCAAATCTTTTAGTCTCGATAAGGATTGTTTCCATACCCTGAGCACGTGGTAGCAGGCGTTCGAAAGGGAAGCGAAAAGGGATTTTACACGCGCGAGAAGCGCGAAGGGCGGGCGAGGAAGGAGGGAAAGGGAATTTCAGGCCATTTTTTAGAGGCTTTTATTTTTTATTAATTGCTTGTAAGACGCTTGTGTGTGTATCTGTTTTGTTTTGTTTTGTTTGTTTTTCAGAAAAGAATTTTCTTCAAACGAATAACGGCACAGCACAGTTTTTACCCGGGGGGGGGAGTACTCCGCGGAATTCTTTGTGGGGGTGTGCCGCCCGGTTCTCCAAATCCTGCCCCTATTTCAGACCAAAAAATGTAATTTTCCACACCCGTTTTCAGACCAGACTCCCGAAATCCATACCCGTTTTCAGACCTGGCCTTTCGGCAGAAACTATATTATCATTACTTAGATTCACATCCATTTCGAATTTGCATGTTTCTTTTTCTTTCTTACTCAATTTGATAAATACGTTCATAAACTCCCGTAGTTCCCTCGAAAACCATACCCGATTCCAGACTAAAATGGGCAAAGTGTATACCCGTTTTCAGAACAAAAAGGCGCAAAAACCCTACCCGATGGGATGGCACATACCTACCGTATATAGCTTATATAAGGGAGTACCCCCCGGATTTTTTAGAACACTAATATCGCTGTACGTTGTGAGGTCAATGCACAGAAGTTGATGATGGGCTTTGTATAAAGATATCAAGCTGGGAAAAGCAATCAGTTAAAAAAGCGTTCTATAGAGTTTCTTTGTTTTTGGATTGAAAGAACTACCATTTCTTGATGTTGTACGAAAGTTTTTTTTTAGGAATAGTTTTAGGTTTGCCAAGGCAGCGAAAAGCTATAAAGACTTGTAAAGAAGTGCGTTTCGCCAAACGTGTAAGAATCGTTGTTTCGTAACAGAAATATTATAGGGGTTTGTGTGGAAACTTAAAAGCGATCGTTATTTAGGGGTCAATACTTCTTACCTGACTCTTACCCGAGGGGGGGGGGGGCACTTGGGTATTTTTTGGGTGGGTATGTGCCTCCCGGGACTCCAAATTTGCACCCTGTTCTCAAAAAAATTTTCCCTAAAATTGATACCCCGTTCTAGAAATGGGCCAATTTTTTATACCCCGTTCTAGAAATGGGACTATTGCCTAAGATGGCGGAGTCAGCGCTCGCGGCTCGCGCCAAAATACGTCCGCCCTGCACGCTAAAACACAGTGCAACAAGAGTACAACAGTTTCCTTGTTAACGCATTGAACCGTATTTTTAAAAGCAATCTGTCCTTGAATAATTTCCAATGGCTGCTTACAAAACTGAAGCTTTCGTGCGGTCGAAATTTTATACCCCGTTCTAGAAAACGCCGCTGAAATGGATACCCCGTTCTAAATCAGGAGCTTCAAAATCACGACCCCGTTGGGCGGCACATACCCGTATAAGTAATGTATGGGAGTACCCCCTCGGGACTCTTACCTTGTCTCCAGGTGTGATTTCCGCTATTCTCTCTGTCCTCTCTTTGACCTCTTTATATTTTGTTCTCCTTATGTATCACAAAAATATATCGAGAGAAGAATAACAGAGCTAGAGCTAATACTCGCTTGAATTGCATTGGAACGGCCAAAAGAGGGATTTTGCCGTCAGCCGTCACGCAATTTCTATGCTCTGAGAAGCCTGGTTCTAGTGTCACTTGCTTCCTTCAAGATGGCGGCGGCTAAGCTGGGAAGACTTGCAGTGAAAAACACAGCGTTTTTACTTTGTGATATTCAAGAAAAATTTCGTCCTTCGATTATATATTTTCCGGAGATCATCAAAGTTGCTCAAAGAATGGTAAGAAGCTTTTGATTATTTCGTTTGATCAAGGGCCTGCACCAAGGAAATATTTCGCAATTATTCCGTCGTATTACTGTCCACTCTACTGCGCTTTTTGCACATTTTTAGTGACATGTCTAAAAAGCTCTGCGAAGGAAAGCGATACCGTGAGAGTTAAGACTCTCTTAAAGGTTTCTAGTTACCGACTTGATAGCTCCTGCTAGGAACCAAAAAATTAACGATTCTTTGTATTGTAGATTAATTAAACCAGCTGATACCCTGCGTGCCAGAGGCTTTTCATGGGCGAAAAAGAAAAAGAGACCCCCGCGAAAAGCCTCTGGACCAGAGCGTCATCCCTTTGATAGCGCTGAGCTATCAACCCTACTTATACCAAAACACCCAGAATTTGGATGTTTTGCTGATGGGTTCCTTTGAGATGTCGAATGTTTCAAATGCTCTGATTGGATTACAGTCACAATAGGCGCGTGATCAGGACGAAGGTGGTTTGAAAGTGACAAAGATCAAATGCAAACAATCCATCTCGAGTCATGTATGTTTTTGCCTTTTGATTTTTGTAGCTATTTGCAGGACATGAAGTATTGTAAACTTTATATTTCTTTAAATAAATACGTTGTTGTTGTTGTTGTTGTTGTTTTGGAAGAGAATTGGAAATATCGGATGGCTGTATGAACAATAGCCAAAGTTATCAGAACATTTGATGGTGTGGAGGGAATAAGTGCGGAACAAAAAGAGGGCATTGTAAATTATGTTCAAAGGAAAGACATTTTGGCAGTCTTGCCGACCGGCTATGGAAAATCACTGGTCATCACTGCTGTTCCAGTTACTACCTGGTATATGCAGTCTGTAAAAGAGGGTCGTTAGGTAACACATGAGTTTTACCCCATGCCAAAATGATGCTTGTTCCAATGAATTTTTTCTCTAGCGGTAGAATTTGTTCTGGTGGGTTCTACATTTTGACTGAGCAAACGTGCATTATTTTTGCAGCTTGTTTCATACTGAGAGGTCTTGACAAGCATATTGATTTTCTGTGGTTTATGTTTTTGGTCGGCATAATTTGCCCTCTGATGCAATAGCATTTTCTTTGACCTCTTTTGAAATGTAAACTTCCTCTTTGTGGCTAAATAAACTTGTAGGTTGTTTAATTTTCTCCAAAGTGCCTCCTTGATCTGAATAACTAAAAGCAATATTTTTTTGTCCGTGAATGTGAAGTTTTTGAGCAATGTTCTGACACACTGAGCCCAACTCGTCAGTAGTTTTTGCAGGATGTCAAATTCTCATGGATACTGATTTACAGATCCCAATTTTGAAGAATGAACAGCAGCTTAAACTAAAGCTACATAAATTATGGATAACTGCACTGTGACTCATTTAAGATTGCTATTAAGCAATGATTTTTACAGTCAAACCAAGTCAAGCGTACCCCCCAAGATTCTATTAATGAATTGATTATTTGAAAAATGAATCCGTTTGTCGTTCCCGTAACTGGTGTCAAATTCAAAGCGGCATTTCTGCATGCGTAATGAGCAGTGAATATTTTATGAGAACTTCTCTGTATTTGGTCAGATTGGAAATCTTTGAATGGATTAAGCTTCTTAGAAGACATTTACATCAATTTCAGGAAAGTGGAGCTGGTAGAAATTTCACAACTGCCTCGCGTGGGAATTCACGGCTCATTACACATTCAAGAATGCAGAAATCAATCTGAAATCTACAACTAGCAACGGATTCAAATTTTGAATGATAAATTCATTAATGGGTTCTTGGGGGGTACACTTGACCTGGTTTGACTGTAATAAAATGATCACCTAAGAGAAAATACTTTGATCTTTTATCAAATTCTCTTAACTAATTCTTAAAGGAAATGTATAGAGATCAGTTTGGAGAATTTGTATGTGGATACTGGGGCTTAAAGGGTTAAATAATGTAATCATGGTAATCTAAGAATGTTCCAAAGAATTTTCTTACTAGAGCGGTTTTCACTTGACTGTCGAAAGGGATTGGTTTTGGTTTTGGTTTTGGTTTTACTACGCCCTTTGGTTGGCTAGTGTATTTACTTTGGTTTTGGTTTTACGACAGTCAAGTGAAAACCGCTCTATGGAGCTGGTAGAAATTTCATAACTGCCTCGCGTGTGAATTCACGGCTCATTACACATGCAAGAATGCAGCGATCAATCTGAAATCTACAACTAGCAACGGATTCAACTTTTGAATAATAAATTCATTCATGCATTCTTGGGGGGTACGCTTGACCTGGTTTGACTGTAAACTCCAGCTTGTTTTTCTAAATATAATGTGACTCTTTGGGCTGAAGTGCATTGTTCCTGCCTTGGTAATTACTTTTCAATTACCTTATTCACAATATCCGCCATCTTTGCATGCATTTTTGGAGGGATGAGATGAAAGTAATGTCACATGGGGGGGAGTGGTATGGCTAAACACTGCCCGCCCTGAGCTTGTGTCAATAAGTAGCTGTGCTTCTCTGATTAGGCCTTAACTAGTTGGCAATGGCCAGCTAGTAGCAAAAAAAACCTGTGCTTTTCACAGAATCCTTGTTTTTGGTCTGCTTTTCCATCAGTTTGCATTGCACGTAAGATTGGCGACATGAAGGGCTATTTTCTGGCTAAATTGATGCACATATTTCAAAATTTGGACTTCTTTGGGAATCTATTGCCAACTTAACAGTAATGGAAATAAATTGTTGTTTCATTACCACCCTTGGTCTACTTAAAAATTTCAGTTTAATTCATTCACATTCTATAAGTATAAGTTTACATATGATGATTATTTTTTCTTACAGGTTGCAGCAGCAAACATCTTGAAAATACCAGTCATCGCAACTGAACAGGTACTAAATCAGCCCTGAAACTGTGTCAGTTGTGTAGTACTAACACCTCACTTTACAGTAAATAAGTTTTAATTTCCCTTGCAAGAGCTTGGGAGAAAGAAAATGTACTTTACTTGAAGGTAGTAAGAGAGTTAAAGGAGCTCTGTTGCAAAATTTATCAAATTTTAAAAAGTCCCAGCCACCACCAAACTGAGTGAAACATAAAAATAACCACTCAAAAAATTAAAAGAATGTATGAAAAGCACAGCAAATATGAAAGAAGGCACAGATGGACAAACTTGTGGAAGATTAAAATGGATTGGAACTGTTGTTTTTTGAAAACTTGTTAAAAACAAGAAGATTTATTTCACTCAGCTCCGTTTACATGTGATTACATGTGATAGATAAAGAAAAAGGGACAAATAAATACAATTTTTTTGTTACACAAGTGAAGAATAAAAATTGTAGTCACTAGATAAGGAGCAAGTTGGGATCATCCAAATAGCAAAGGCTAATCTAGTGGATGTTAATATTGTAATTTTGATATTATGCTTGGGAAACATATTTGTTGGACAAGAAGCTATTATTTTGTCATTTAAAAGTACTTTCTTTTCTTTTTCACTAAGCTTCATAGCGAATAAAGATGCGTAATAGGTCATTTGCACGATGGCATCATTTTACTACTATGACCAGAATCCTTTTTGTTTTTCCGTTCATATTCAAATTTGGTAATCCCAGCAACATTTAAATAGCAAAATCCCTAATTTGCACAAGAAAGCAAATCCTGAAAGATTCTGGTCGTAGTAGTAAAATGACGTCATCATGCAAATGGCCTATTGGCAGTACTATAAAAATCAACTAGACAGCTGCATCACAGCCTCTTTAATGAAGAGGGTATTAATTTATAAGTAATGTCTTGCTTATATGTTGTAAATCGTCTATTTTTCCAAGTATCCCAAAGGGCTTGGCAATACAGTAGAGGAGATTGACACCAGTCCTTTCAAGGAGCGTGTTTTTTCCAAGACAAAGTTTTCCATGGTCATTCCTGAGGTGGAAGAACAGCTCAAGCAACTGAATGTTGAGAACGTTGTGTTGATGGGTATTGAGGTATGCTCAATTTGTAGTCAACAAAACTAGTACCATAAAGTTTTCCTGATGATTAAATTACAGACTGAAGTGGTGCAGTCTGATGACAAGAGCGGGTTTGGCAAGTGCGGGTGAAAAAGATATCAAAACTTGTGTCATGTCCATTATTTGATTTCTTTTACCACCAGCTATTGTGGTCAACTGTTGTGTCAGTTTTCGCATACCTTTTGTGGGATTTCTTTCACGATTAAGTAAAAAGGTGAGCAAGCAAGGAGGGTTGTCTAATAAACACAAACTGAGTCCAGTCATCTAAGTGCAAAATTTTCCTTTTAAGTCCATATATACAGTTTCATGACTGTCATACTCTAAATGCTCTGCATGCAAGCAAAATTGCTTGGACATATGGCATCTACTAGGCTGCATTTCCCAAACCAATAGAACTTGTAGTTACCAAAAAATATAGTAAATTAATAGGAGGCCAGGAAGAATGAAAATGACAAGGTTAGTTTTGTTTAGATAGCAAATGTGTTTCTTGGTAGAAATTGATCAATTACACGTACATGTACCCCTTTGTTGCCTTGTACTGAACTGTAAAAGCATAGCGAATTTATTGCTTTTAGACACAAGTTTGTGTTCTACAAACCACAATGGACCTTCTAGAGAGGAACTATAATGTTCATGTGTTAGCTGATGGGGTGTCATCACGCACAATGGTTGAAAGGATGTTTGCACTTGAGGTAAAAAAATAGTTAAATCTCTTAAGACCATTTTTAGCATAATAACTAGCAGTGACAGAGGAAATAGAACTACTAGGTGTCTGTGTAAAATGGAAATATATATGTCCCTGCCAAAATATTTTATTGCAGCTTGTGAACTAGTCTCCCTCGCAGCCGATTTTTGGATGTCACGCAACGCTCCCCCAAAAGAGTGTAGACTACTTGTGAACAGGCATTGGTGTTGTTGTTGCTTTTTTACTCACTTGTTACTCAAGAAAGGCCTGAAGGATACAAATGGCAATACAAAATGAGGCCAAAAATAGTTGAGGAGTTACAGATAATACAAATTAGAAGCAAAATTAGAAAACCCGGCTTTTGTCACTGAAGACCAAAGAGTGTATTTTTTTTTCAAATGTTTGCGTTGTAGAATTTTTTAAAAAAAAAATAGTCTGAGAAAACAGCCGACATTTTGTGACGCTACCACTGGTTTCAGTAATAATAATAATTATAATTAATAATTTATTCATTTATAGTGCGCTTTTTAACATGCTAGGTGATCAAAAGCGTATTACAACAATAAATAACTTAAAAACTATTAATACAAATATTAGAAATATACAAATATATTTAATATCTAAGAGATATTAATAGCTAATTTAAAAAGATAAGTTTTAAGATTAGATTTAAAAGTAGAAATACATTTGATGCTACGGAGGCTAACAGGAAAAGCGTTCCATAAAGTGGGCGCAGCCACACTGAAGGATCTGTCACCAAATGACTTTTTCATTTTTCCTGACCGATGCTTTAATTAAACACCTTCATTAGAGCACAGCAAATAGCGCGTATTAGTCTTAGTATGAATTAAATCAATGATGTAGCTAGATGCCATGCCATAGAGGGCTTTGAAAGTAAGTAATAAAATTTTAAAATTAATTCTATATCTTACTGGTAACCAGTGTAAATTTCCCCGCGAAATGACGTCTGAGAAACGAGCACAAAAATTCCATACTGATGACGTGTCACTACCCAAATCTGGAAAGTGCTTCTGATTGGTTTGAAGTTAAGTTTCAGCCAATCAGAATCACTACCCTGATCTGGGTTGTGTCATCAGTATGGAATTTCTTCGCTCGTTTCTCAGATGTCATTTCGCGGGGAAACCACTGGTGGCGTCGCGAAATGTCGGCTCTTTTCTTCAGGTTAAAATGAAAACTGCTCAACAACTTTCATTGACGATCTCATCTACACACTTGAAAGTTTGATCCTGGAAGTGTAGGAATTAATATTATCGAAACCTTTGTTTCAGCGGATACGTCAAATTGGTGGGTTTGTTACAACAAGTGAGTGCAGCTTGTTCATGCTGATGGGTGATTCAAAACATCCCAACTTCAGAGAAGTTCAAGCGTTGGTGAAAACTGCAGCCCCAGACTCTGGTCTTCTGTCTAAATGTTAACGTCAAGTTACGGTTTTTATACAAACGCAACATTCAGGTCATAATTTCGATAAAATACACACGAACACTAACAAGAAAGATGATCTGTTTAGGAAAAATATATAGGCTTAGTTTAAATGTGCATTCTGTTTGGTTTAAGCAATGATTCACAGGCATAGTTCTCATTTAGAATATCTCAATCTTACTCTAGATCATGAAAATTACTTCGTGCTCAAACAATCCGATGTAGCTACTGCTTATTCATTATTATATAAATTAAGTCAATCTAAGTCGGATCTCTGTGAGACTGCTTCGTGAATGTGCTGACCTGATTGCACCCTCTCTTTGTTCCATCTTTAATCGCTGTATTGTTTCTGGTGCTTTTCCTGATGATTGGAAGTGTTCTATAGTTACAACCTCGTTCCCAGGTTCTCTCTCTCGCTCCGTAGGACGAGTAGGAGAGAACCCTGGGAACGAGGTTGCTATAATTTTTCCTTTATTCGATGACCTAAATAAAATAACTATCGTCCAGTCTCCATCATTCCTGTAGTGGCGAAAGTGATGGAAAGAATAGATTGCGATAAAGTCTTCTCACACTTAATTGTTGATAATTTACTTTCTAGCCACCAGTCAGGGTTCCTTCAGCTTCACTCGACTGTCAATGCACTACTCGAGGCTACCGCAATTGGGCTTTTAAAATATCGACAAGCGTGGAGTTAGCGCCGTAATTATAAGTTTCCTAGATCTTAAAAAAAGTATTTGACACGGTGAACCATGTGTCATGTACTGACGAGAGATCCGAGAACTCACCCGGACAACATGGTGGTTTACTACAAACACGTTTTATTGAATCTATGCGTGCGCATGTAATTACTATATGTGGTAAATGCAAAGGGAGACCGTAACACCATGATATCATTTTATCATAATTATATGAACATGGCATTCGAGGCGTTTCCAATGATTGGTTTAAGTCCTATCTGAGTGATCGTAATCAAAAATGCTTCGTGAAGGGTCATTTGTCTGGCAACTGTTCGTTGTCCTGTGGCATTCCTCAGGGAACAATCCTGGGGCCTCTACTGTTTCCTATTTGTATTAACGACCTCCCAAATTTTCTTCCCACTGTCAGCCTCGTATACGTTTGTGTATGCAGATGACACTCATCTAACCTATGCTTCTTACAACATCAATTGTGTTGACCTTTATCTTAATCAATATCTGGGTCCAGTTTATGGAAAGGTGGATAAAGCTATCCAGTGGATAACGCAATTGATTCCCCTAATACTTATCCAGTAGATAGTGATTTATCCGCCAGAGCCCCCCCGGAGAGCTTGCTGGCAGGCTGACGTTTTGTGGAGAACGTAAAGAATCAATGTCAAAATTTTCTTTGTCTTTCTGAACTTGGATATGGTTGAAAGGAATTCAGCTCAAAAGGAGTTCGCTGGCATTTGACTAAGTAAGCGAACTGGAATAATCACGATAGAGTTTGAAAAAACGCGAATTCACTTTTCAAGGGTCGTTTTCGTGGCCATCAGCCGTCGTGGTATCATAAACTCCCTAACATTTACGAGGGCGTGATCGATGCAAGCTTGAATACTTGTTGTAAGCTAAAGTTTGTATTTTTGGAAAAGCGTCTTTAAAATACCCTTACATACGTTTCCATGTTTTAGTTTTCGGGTAGACAGTACTTTGAAATGGGGAGTTTATATCAAACTGAAAGTTT